GCCGTGCTTATATAGAAGTTACACTGGTGAAACGTAATCATAATTTTTTAAGGGTTGGAATTCCTGGAAATTCTTGGTAACGATCCCAGGAATTTCAGAAGAGGTCGTGATCGGAAATTCCTAAGAATACCAAAAAAACTGTCAAAACATACCTTTTTTCAGTTATTATTTTTTTTCATTATAGACAGCCTTGAATCTTTTGATTTATGTATTTTTGACATAAGTGTAACTACAATATTTTATATAAGTACTTTACCAATTAAAAAATGTATTATAAAATCCTCACTATAGTACAAAATACTACTCAGGATCATTACTCATCAGTCATTAGCTAGGAAAAGTTAGTATTTTAAGCGAGAAAAAAATTATTTTAAAGTAAATTTTAGATTCTTAGAAAAATGAGGAAACAAAAAAGAAATCAAAAAGTCACAAAAATGTTTTGTTGCTTAATCATCTTTATCGTAAATCTAGAGATACCAACAACAATATCATATAAAATATACCTATAGTATATATTCACTAGTTATAATAATAGACAAGGATCAAGGTGTCCAGACTCCCGACTGTGCCAAAAAAAATTATTGATATGTCTAAGCTTTAAAATATAATTATTTGTAATTACATAAATTTGTGTTAGGTACATGATAATCGTAATTTATGATACGTTTTTGCGGTGTCTACCGTTTCCTTCATACCTATTAATTTAACAGTGAGGTTATGAGTGTTATTTTTTTTAATATTAAAGAAATAAAAAAAGGATGATTTTTTTATAAATTCTATTAATTTTAAATCGTTTTAAATATTATTGTTAGGTATTAACAGTAGTAAAGTTTTGAAAGATTTGTTGGATTAAAATGTTATATTTTAAAAACTATAACCTTTTGTAAGTATCTTTACAGTGTATTAATTGTGTGTTTATTCGTTTTTTTTATACTAATGAAATAAAAAAATATGTTGAATTGTAAGAGACCCATCGATTCCACCGATATAGCATTGATTCCTACTGTGGACAAGTGTACATAAAACCTATACATGCACCAATTGAAACCTAATTTTTTTTTTTTATTTTTAGCAGTATACGTGATTTTTAAATGGAAATTCTGCAAACAACTTGAATATTTAATTGAAATACACCATTGTTAAGCCTTATGATGCGAAAACTTTAATTAGTTCACTCAATTCCTGTATGATTACACCGTGAATTACCACACGTTCCTGGAAATTGCCATCGCTATTTCCGAATATCTTTTTTTATTTTGAATGTTGTAATTATTTTCTATTTAAAACTATCCAGTCTGTAGTTATTGATGGTTATTAAAAAAAAATAACAATCAAGTTATAGTTTGATTTTAACTAGGTACACCTAATGATATACCCAGTAACAAGGTTTTCAAAGAAATATTTTACTTGGGATTAACTAATATTAAAATAAACGGCACTGAAGTGGATGCCAATATTGTTATAAAAGTTATATAATATTATATACTTTTATAGTTATACATATGTAAAATGTAACTCATCTTATTAAGCGTAATACGTTAATTTATTACATCAAAAACCAACCAGATAGAGTATTTTATAATAAAGTATGTATAATAATATGTATATATATTAATATATCAAGTATATTAAAGTATATTGCGTATACTCGATATTATTATTATTATATTATGTGTATATGCGTAGGTACCTAATCGACGAGAAATTATCCGATCAATTTATCAAAATAATAATATTTGTGCAGCGCCCGTGCTCGGATTTTTCGACTTAAATCATATTCTGTATATATTATGCGTATACAATATATATATATATACATATATACATTTGGACATTTAGACGTATTCATAATATATTATAAGTATTTATCGTTTGTATTATTTTTGGCGGAAAGCAGCTATATAGGGGGGACTTGATGAAAATACGGGCGATTAATTTTATCGCGAGGAATAAAACTGCGCTATATATATATATATATATACCTATATGTATATGTATAGACGGTGGCCGGAAAAGTGGCGCAATAATAATTGAATATCTTTCGGGGCGCAAACAGTTAAATGCCACTGTTGCTGTTTCGGGGGGTGGTCTACCGTATATACATATATATATATATATATATATATTATATAATATGTATATAAATATATACATGGCAACAGTCGCCACCGCATCAATTTTCATTATGTCAATATCAAATGCCGTCGACGCCGCCGCCGCCGCCGCCGCCGCACACCGATGATGGAACCGACTGCGGCGGCGGCGGCAGTGTGAAGAGCACCGGCACGGGCAACACTGCTGCTGCAGTTTTCTCTCGGACAATTATTTCATACCCCGCACAAAAATGCGGAAGCTAAAAGGCCCTCCGCACGCGTTAGAAGTTCATTTATCTTAGCGCCGACCCACCCGCCCGTCTGCGCCCACGCCGAATGCCAATCACTCGCCGCCGCGCGGTCGGTTGATCGATTACGCCGCGGAAAACGATATCTCATCGTCACCGTCACCCCCGCCTGGCCGCACTCTTCGTCTACGATCGCGTACATTATTATTATACATATTATTGTATAATAATAATAATAATAATATACATTCTGTCACTCTCGCGTATTCTAACTGATTCGACACGACTACCTCCGAAACCACCCGACGATGACGATGACTACAATATAGGAACACATAGGTACACACGTCAGTTTGTCCGTATCGCCCTTTTAAGATAAAGTGTAAGACATCATGGTCGACTATACCGTAAATACGCGATACATATAGGTACCAATAAAGGGAAAAAAGACAGATTTTAAATCTTATCCTGTTATAGCAGTAGTACCTACATATATGTACACACAATTTTATTATGTATCACACATTCCTACAGCATGGTTCGTAAATAGAATTTTTCAGCCATAATATTAGACGAATTCTCGAATTCATTTTTTATTTTGTTTTATTTTTGTATTGCTATTTGTATACGTTTACAAAAATGTCGATATTTTTTTATTTGAATATTATTATTCTTCTGCAGACCAACGAAAAAAAAATGAAATTTTCCGGGTCGGGTAAGATTTGTCACGCCTTTAAAATCCCGCCATAGAAGCAAAACGGGACCCGTGACTGCAATTCGGCACGGCTCGACTCTATTATTTTAGTGCACGTCGATTATGTGACGCGGATATTGGCAGTTTCCGATTTTTTTTTTTTGGTCACATAACGATTACAATAAACGACATAAAAAAGTTAAGAGTAATAATTTTTTTATATGAACTCTTTGTACGATGGCTTTACGATATAGGCTGGTATAAACCATAAAAAAATACCTACAATCACACGCAGTTCGTACATCATTGCACGACTCGTATTTTACGCTAAAGCCACGGCGACCTCCCATAATAATAATGATTATCTTTTGATTTTTCCCTAGAGCGACCATACTTTTTTAACACGTTAACTGCACGCATATAATTGTATACACGGCGGTGTAATGCGATAATAATAATATAATACGGCCATTGTCATAATAAATGGGGCTGTAAATATAATAATATTATTTTGGCCGAACGCACGAACCGTCTGGCCATTAGTCTGCAACTGCTGTCGAGTGATTTGCCCTCCTACGATTGTGTTTGTTCGTGATAGTAAATAAGTCTACACATATAAAATCCAAATACCACTTAGTCACTGATAGCAGTAAAAACTACGCAACGTACTTGAAATTGGGAATAAAGGTTCTTCTCATATTTTCACCATGCAATAAAAGAGGATTTTCAAAGATGTTGCTTATTAGTGAAGTAATTAATAATTATATTTGTATTGTGCGGCACGGTGGCTCGCGGTTTTCTAGCTACCTGCAACTTATCATTTTTGTCCTTTATGTAGATGAGAATTTTTTCGAGAAGTTATAGGTATATATTGTAAATATGAAAAAAACAAAAATACCAACAAATGGGCGAAGCCAGGTAATTCAGCTGTATATTAATACATCTCAGTCGAATGCTTTATGCCGTGGACGACCGTCGCTGTTTATTCACCGCACATCAGTGAAGACTCTCGCATAGACATCAGCTTTATAATTTGTATTATGAAGTTATGCGGACAGTACATTAATCGCGCCTATATTATATTGTATGCTGCGCATGCGTACCGGCCACTTTAATTTTGCTCGGTACGACTCTGCACGATAATGCCAGACAGAGACTTGAATAGGCTCCAGATTTTTGTCGAGCAATGATTGTGGCATAATATATGTTATTATAGTTTCGTGTAACCGATTGAAAACTGCACGTATGCCTTTTCTCAAAAGAAAAAACCATATTATAATTCGTACATTTTTAGAAGATTTATATCCTCCCTCAGACGTATTTGCGCTAATGGACCAACAAGTATATCATAAACTATATAATACTGGATACAAACGATGTGAAGGAAAATAAAATAAGAACTATAAGTACACGGGTACCTGTGATCGCCATGTACTACACGGATAATACTCTCACTAATATACTTTTGCGCTACCGATGAATCACAGCTCCACTCATCTGTCGACTGTCGAGAGATCAGTTCATATTATTTGTACGTTCTCTATCATTCTTTTAACAGGTCCAAACGTTATTACCCAATGATACATATATTATGTACATAGTACATTAACTTTGCAATAACAACTACATTTTGTTTAGTTGTTCGACAATGAAATAATTATTAACTTATGCATTGAATGTTATTTTATAAGATTAACGAAAGTAATATACATATTATAATATGAGATATATAACTATTATAATATTAAAATGATGAACAGAATGACATTTAAAATTTTTTTTTTAAATCAAAGTTTCTTTTCTTACGATAAAATAATATGTATACATTATATACAATCACGTCGACTGACGTTTTAAAAATAGATTAGCGTAATATTATTTGCGTAATAATTATTATATTGTTTCATAATATTTAGAATCGAATATCATAAATGTATAACTATAACCATTTTTTTTGTTTTTATGTATAGGTCATAGGTTGTCAAGGTACATTGAAATCGATACTTTAAGACATTTTGAAGTGCTGCATTTTTTGGCCACCAGGTGAGTTTTTGTCGTTTCTATCAAATATTTAACTATTTTTATTTTGAGTTTTTACTGAATTTAGTCACCCTTAATTATTTAGAATTATTAGTATAATAACGGGTATGTGGTAACACTTGTAAGTATTATAATACCTAATTAGTGTTTTATTATCCTTGTATTATATTTTTCTTAGTGTTCTACGTATAGATATCCAGAATAATTAATTTATTATAGAATTTGTGAGGGACATCGGACATTCACCAAATAATTTATGAACAGAGATATATTTTATACACCATAGAAACAAAATTATATTATGCCTGATGAACATTTTTAACAAAATTAAAAATAGCATAACAAGATAGTTGAGCACTCGTCTCGCTTCGTTTAGCACTGTAATTTTATTTAATCTGAAATAACAGCGATTAATCATCTAAATTACAAATATTGTTGTTTAATACTTATTAGGTAGTACAATGCAGTTACATCGTATAATATACGTAAAATAATATATTATACATTGATTGATACAAATCACTATTCAGTACACGTATTATTATAATTAATAAGCCGATATTATAGTGTTTATTTCAAGGTGTACAAGAAAGACCTAACAAATGAAATAACTTTTCTTCTAATCAATATTAAAAGTATTTTTTTATGTTGTTCATATAGACGCTCGTGCTACAATAATATGGTATACAATTTTTATTTTTATTTTTTAATACAAAAAATAAAAATTCAAAACAGCCAATTTGTAAATCTAATATAGAAAAAAGTTGATACTAAGAAGGTTTAAATAAGTCAATTAGCTTAATATGTACTTTATTTTTTACTATTTTTTAAAATATAAATATTTTATTGCAATAAATTAATTTTAAACTCATGATAACTTTTTCTAAAATATTAATTTTTAGTATTTCCTGACAAAAGTTTATTTCTCAAATTATTTATTATAATTTAATTTAATATAATTTTCATAGTATTTTTAATGCGTTTAACCGGTATACCATTTTTTTCGGGTCTTTTTCTCTTTTTGTTACATCCTATAGTTGCATAGGATGCAGCAAAAATATATGCGTCCTAAGTTTTACGGTAGCTGGTACATGTCACATGTGTAATGTCATGTACCTACCATACAACTTATATAATATTCGTTTTTATTTTGTGTACTACCTATAGTATAATACTTAAACAAATAAATTTGATGATTTACAAGACCTTGAAAAATTTGAAATATTTTTCTACGACAGTTTTCAAACATTTCAAATCGAAACTTTTGTTTGATAAAAAACATTTGACCACTCGAGAAATGTACGTCATGAATCGCGATTATAATAGCATTATAATGGTATTGAACTTATTATGTATATCAGTTGGTATAATAAGTGAGCTGCAATAAGTTATATAATATGTCAATCACTTGCATATTGTATAGGTATATTATATAATAAATGTATAGTGTATACTATATTCAAAAAGCTTAATATTCATTATCTGTTCAATTATTTACATTGTAATTTTGATTTTTTTCCCATAACGTTATTATGGTAATTACTAATTTCTTATTTGACAACGAGTTATGATAAAAATATAAAATAGCTTATCATTGAAGTGTCACATATGAATTTACAAACGAAAAGACCGCACATTACAATGAATTCGTCCTGATATAATAAACGAAAATCGACGTGAATACAATCAAGATATTCATACCTCTTTGAATTTAATCGCCGACGCATATTCAAATCTATTATAATAATAATAATTATTATTTGTATAATTGATCATCTATTATCGTGTATTGATCTCCACCCACCACCGCCAGCCATATTCGACGCCGACAATTAATAAATTATTTGATTAATAATTATTTGGCCTATACGTCGTCGTCACGGCCAGTCGTAGTATCTATATATAATTATCACAATACCACTTGTCGCGGAGATTTAAAAATATATTTTATATAATTCAAGACGTAATCGTGGGGGGTCAATATCAAAGCATTTTTTATTACACAATACAATATATTTTATTTGCTTTTATATATTTAAATTGAGCTACTTATTGTTTTCATCTGTTTTTTAATTTTTGTCGGTATATGGGGAAAAAACTAATATTTAATAGCTCCAAGCTAATTGGAAAAAATGGATTATAATACATCTACTGAACATCTGCTAAATATTTTTTTGTTATCATTAAACAATAAAAAATAAATAAAAAGTGGCTAGTGGTCATCCCAACAAGACGTAATATTATTTCTCAATTTTTTATACAATTCTTCAGATTCTGTTATTACTTATTACTATAACAGTTGAAACGAAAAATGATTTTTCACAAAAATGTCTGCCCCCCTCCCTCCCTCCCTATTTGTTTTGCTCTGGATCCGTGCCTGGAAATGCATGTGTGATCCTTAGTTCGAATTTAGTTCAAATAAATTTCATAAAGTTGTTGCTTATGACACTGTCATTCCCTATAGTTACATTGAACACTTGGCATAAATAAATATAATTAAAAAATATTATATTGACAATAATATTGTGAACACGAAATACTCAGATAAATGTCGAGAAACATTAATCTTGGATTGTAAGGTTCTATTTTTATTTGTGATCTACTCTCACGTCTATCATGCATTTGCTGTAGATATAAGTATATAACCAATGTAGTAGGTGCCGACTATCGCGCTCTAAGTCCAAATTAATATTTATGTGTGCGAAATTTAATATCGTTTTAATATCGTTTGTTTGGATTACGTTTTTGTAACTATAGCCTATCGTAATCCGTCTTCTCCTTAATATTTTAACAATAATAATTGTATGCAGATAGTAGGCGCCTAACCTTTAAACAGCGGTGCAGGTCTTGTTATTTTTGTCGGCGCAACAGTATTAGTTACAAATCTGCAATAACATGGGAGATATTAGGGCAAGGTTTTTTGGACGTTTATTCGTTGTTTTAGCGTTTATGTTACAGACGAATTAAACTTGGAAAAAATAATGAGGAAACCTTAGTCACCTGGGTTGTAAAACGATAGCCCAGATAAAACGTATAATATAATTTATTATAATACTATTTTATTATATAAATTACGTATATTATTAGATTATAATATATTATATCGTACTAGGGTCGAATAGTGGAGTGTGCGTTTTGACATTTAATAGATGGGGAGGGGGGGCACATGTATTTTTTAAATCATAATATTTCAGTAGTTATAATTGTAAAAAAAGTTATAAATATTGAATTTTGTAATGATTTTGTAATGATAGATATGTTCTATAAATACAATTATTAGATATTTCAAAACAAAAAATAGAAATTGAAGTCATCGTAGAAATCAAAATTTTATCGATTCTGGAATTATTTATCTTCGGTTTTGTATCGGTTTACTATTACTATTTAAAAATATATATATTTTAATATTTTATTAATTTTGGTTATTTATGTACAAATACGTGGGTGTGACACAATTTAAATACACATTAATGAAATTAAAAGGATGATAATGAATGTCATATACCCAATATATTTTACAATATTCTGCAAAGACTGATTGTGTTGATAATCGATATAAAATAGAAAATCAGTGTAAAAAATGTTTTAAAAAATATTTAATGAAAGTAAAAAAATTAACCATTACTGTAGTTTTAATCGTTTTATAATTTATTTTTAATATATCGGGTGGATCAATGGGTGTTAGGATATTGTCACGTTATTACTTATAAACTAAACAACGAGTGTAGATAGATTTATTGTGATAAACCTAAATCATGTAATAAAAGGTACCTACACGGGATAAAATACATTTTGGGGTTTATTTTCATAGTCATATTAACGGCGAATAATTTTTGACTCAATGACTTTAACGCTGACGAGCGTCATTGGTTTGATTAGGTATGCCAGGTGAACCATGCTAGCAAATAGAAGGTTTTTGAAGTTGTGCCTAAAGCCGAATGGAGATCCACTGTATCCGCTTTTGGTTTATATATAGTGGCGCTAAAATGTGTGTATAGTTCAGTACAATAATAATAATAATATGGTCGTTGCAGTCTAATACGCGAGTGTGAATTCCGGCGACGCAAGACCGCGGTGATAACTTTTGCGGGAGAAATGTAAAAATATTATTATTATCCTCACGTATTAAAGTAAAAAATTTGCTGCGAGCGAACGTTTACTATTTTTTTCTCTGCTTATCGATATTATAACCAGAAATATCTATACATAATAATAGGGCATATACTTTTATACGTATACCTACCGTTGACGCCATATAATTGCATAATACAGCTGCGTTTATATTTTTCATACATCGGTGTAGGAACATCGCACCTGCACGTCTCGAACGACGATTGTAGTACCGTTACCTATGCCTATATACCTATACGTCTATTGCCGGACCATGTAGGGACACCTCGGGCTGGGCACGTATAAGAATCGTAAAACGAGCGACGAAGGGATGAAATCGATCGATCGACCGGCCGGACGTGTACAGTAACACGACCTTTTTACATACTTTACACGCGGGAGCGATTGTGCCGAGGCCATTTAGTATATAGCAAACGGCCGACAACACACTCGCGCAAATGCCATTGTATATATATAGTGTATTAATTGTGTGACTTACGGTTCAATTATTGCCTGCGCCGACACAGCGCACTCGGTTTGACGGCGTACCAGCTGCAGCTGTCGAGTGTCGACTGTAAATCGCTGTTGCACCGCACTCCGACTACACCCCCGGCACCGCCGCCGCCTTCGCTACCCAGAACTTTGAAGACCGGCAGGATGACCGAGGGCTACTAATTTCCCGGGGTCGAGTGGAAAACCCCAAAACAATACGACGACCGAAATAATAGTCTTCGCTGTAGCATTGGAGCGGCAACAACAGGTTGTCTACATATAGTTGGGTTCTATTATATATTTATAATTTATATCAATTGTTATTATAATTATAATTATTATTATTTGGAAGAAAGTCTGAGTTTAAGTATCGTGCATGAACGAAACAACAATATGTTGCT